AGGGAGGGAAGGAAGACATCTCAGCCTCCACTGAGAAAACTAAAAATACAGGCAGCACACACCAGTTCAGCCACCCTTGTTCTTGCGCTTTCCACACACAAAAGTGCATTTCTTGACTACAAGAGGGGACAGGTGAGTCTTCTGTGTCCTGCACGGAGAACCGGGGTATCCCCATGCCTGCCTGCGGTTCACTCTTCTTCACTCCCACCCCCGTAGATGGCAGCACTGAACCGCCTTGGCTGACTCGCTCACCCGGGCTGCCGGATCCGATCAGGACTTGACTGGGGGAACCGCAAGGACATTCCAAGGCTATCAGTTAGACCAGGAAGCTGAAAAACATCCTGGAAACCCGCTCAGCACGGTCACTAAGAAAACACCACCGTGGGGACATCCATGAAGTCACCAGGAGTCAACCTGGACTCGAGGAAGACTTTAGAACTTACTCTCCTCCTACACTCAGCCAATTCACAAAGGATTATAGGGTTTGACTTGAGTAATTCATTCTTCCTATTCCAAGACATTAGATGGGGATTAATTGACTGGGTTAGAGTGTTTGCAGGAAGCTCTAATCTATTGTTCTTCAACTTGGCAACTTTAAGATGGGTGGACTTCAACTCCCAGAATTCTCCAGCCAGCCATGCTGGCTGGGGAATTCTGGGAGTTGAAGTCCACGTATCTTAAAGTCGCCAAGGTTGAATCTATTGTTCTTCAACTTGGCAACTTTAAGATGGGTGGACTTCAACTCCCAGAATTCCCCAGCCATCTATTGTTCTTCAACTTGGCAACTTTAAGATGGGTGGACTTCAACTCCCAGAATTCTCCAGCCAGCCATGCTGGCTGGGGAATTCTGGGAGTTGAAGTCCACCCATCTTAGTTGCCAAGTTTGAACAGCGCTGCTCTAACCCTACCACGCCCTTCACAGCAGCTCACAACCAAGACAGCGAGATTCTCGCAGAACACACAACAGTCTTCCATTGCACAGTTGTGGCTATCTTGACTTTTCAAACACACCCGTGCAAATACCACGGAGACCTGTGCTTGGCTCACATTCATCAGCGAACGCTTTAAGGCCCTTTGCCTTTGATCCTCTTGGGAACTGTGCCTTGATTTGGGAGGGGGGGATTTTCATTGCTTATTTGATAGCCCCCAAACGCCCATCTCTTCTTGCCTTGCCCTATTTTACAAACTGTTTTTTTGGTTCCTAGGCTGAGAGAATTCCATCCCAAACTTCCTCTTGGCCCAATGTATTACGTGAACAGAACCCTTTTGTAAGAACTAATTTTTAATTAGGAAACAAACGCAATCACGTGGATCCTTCAAAGTGAAAGAAGGATTTTTTTTTTTAAAAAAAGTGTGTGCTTCTTTGGTGTCATTCAGGCGTCGCTAAGTCCAGACAGGAAAAAACCGAAAACAGAGTACACTCCTACTGATAAAACTGAAGATCTATTTTTACAAGTATTTTCAGGGCAGAGCGAGAGTCCTTGTGCACATGGAGTCAACTTACATTTGCTGTAATAAATGCAGCTTCTGATCCAGCTTCTTGCTGCAAGTTCTTACTCTGAGTTTGTATTTTGATGTTCTTTTACTACGTCTTAGTCTAGTCTTTATATTACCCGGAAGTAAGGACAAGCAACTTTTAGGGATTTAGGACTACAGGCCAATCAGAAAAGCCAATATCTACGTTTATGGAAGCCCCTTCTGGACTTTTTGCGTGAAGCAGGAAAAAAGGAACTTAGGAACTATGGTTTTGACGATTAGATAGGATAGATTATAGAAAGAAGAGAGTCACGTTGTGACTCTAGAGAAAGAGGTAAATCACAATCGTACTTATAACTGCTGTAAAGAAGATCGGAAGCCACTTCTTTATAAATTTTTCCTTTCTTTTCTGTTTTTCTTCTACCTTTTTTCTTTTCTTTTCTTTTTGCATTTTAGCTTTCTCTTTTATTCCTTCCTTTTTCTTTTTTCCTTCTTACTCTATTTTAGTTTGCATTGATTTTTACTCTTGTTTTTAAAACTCTCAATAATATTATATATATATTAAAAGAAGGACTACAGACCAATCTGAAGAAATATCAAATCTAGCCTTCACTAACTGGAGGTCCTTCAGATGTGTTCAGACTTCATTTTCCAAAATCCCCAGTTTCTTAGGGAGCTGAAATTGCAAAATACGTGAAGAGTGTCAGAGAAGGCTGACTTAATCAGTTCACCCGGGCTTTTTTCATAAGGTCTGCAAGCTATCCACCAGCTGATGGTCCTACGGGCACCACAGACTGAGAACTTCCATCTTCCCCCTAAGTGCCACGGGGCTGGCCTCTCCTCGCCCCAGTTCATCACTTACATCACCTTATCAGTTGTGTCCAGAGCAAACATCGTCTTTTCCCCCCTAGCCTGACTCTGTCCTGCCACCGCCTGGTCCCCCTTATCTGGGAGGTGAAGGGAGGTGACCAGCAGTGAGTGTGATCCGAGGTGTGTTTTGGGAGGCCCAAGCACAGCGCTTCCCCCGGCCACTACCAGCCCCCTCTGCGGCCATTTCTCTCCCTTTGCTCTTCCTTTTCTGCCCCTCTTTCTCCTGCCACGGTTTTGAAACCAACTTCTCTGTAGGCTTCCAACAAGGCAGAGCTGGACAGAGCTCCGTGACTTGGAAGAAGAGAAGCTGTTATTTGCGGTATTCCATTTGAACAATTCTCTGAAAATGTTGGTCCTCCACAGTCTTATTTTTGGAAGAGCCAGGGGCTCTAGATTAGTGCTTCTCTGAAACGTGGTGCCAGCAACCCCTTTTCCCCATGGTGGGGTCCTGAGAATGAGGGACCTTTGACTGGATTTCTGTGGCTAATCTGCCAGTTTCCCTGTATTGGTCAGTTTCATTCACTTCCCAAGAGAACCGGGTGCCCAGCAGCTAGTCAGTTTCACCTCTCAGCTCTCTCTGACTAGCTGGCTGGACAGTCCTGAAAGGGTCTCCCTTCCTCCCCTCCAGCACTCCTTCTGCCCAGCTGCCTCCCTGTTTGCCTCTGACTGTAGGGATGGTCAGGGAATCAGAATTGGTCCGAGGTTGCTTAATTAACTGAGACCCTTTCACAGAAACAGGGTCTTCCCCTTCTGCTGAACTTGGGGATGCCTGCACGGGGGTCAAAAAAGGTGGCAGCTTTGGCCCCACGATCCGAGTGCTGCCTCTTACATGCATCGCCACACATAAAAAAGGGCAAAGGTTTGATTGTGCGATCGAGGCTGCCATCTTGACTTTTTTGACCCCCAGGGGAGGACAGGCAGACCAGCCTGTGATCCCCAATCCTGCTGCACTGGGGGATGGTTTCCCTGTGGGCTGCAGTTCAGCTGTCTGCTGAACTAGGGTCCCTGGCACGCTCACAAATCAGGATGTCGCCCCAACTCTAATTTGGCAGGGAGGGGCCACAGAGGCAGGGAGGGCCTTGGCAAGTGGCCAGCCGGTCACGTGGTGGAGTAGCTCGTGTGGACGTCAGGAAGGGCAGTGTCAGCCCTGCAAGGTCGGCCAGGCACCCCAGAACTCGGAGAACTGCACTTCAGCTACGGCAGCAGACTCCGGGAAGCCCGCGGGGCTCTTCCCTCGCCCGCCTTCCGCGCCCGAGAGAGCCGAGGCGCGGCAGCCTGGCGTTTCCTTCTCCCTCCTCCGCGCTTTCCAGGCTCAGCTCCGGTTTCGCTTTGGCTTGCGCCGCCTCGTGTCTCCCGGGCACCTTTC